ATGTTGAAGAGTACTGGGCCTAAAACAGAGCCTTGGGGTACTCCACTGCATACTTCCCTCCATGTAGATGCAGTGAAGGAAGTACGCAGTGGAGTACCCCAAGGCTCCGTTTTAGGTATAGGTAGTTCTCAACTTTTTTAAAACTCCAATTTATTAATTTTCTATTAGTTACATTACTTAGTGCTTAATAAACATTGTGTTGTCTGCAGAGGTGGGTTCCGGCACGCGCTACTGCTGGTTCGCTTGTGTGTGAGCTGCCCGTGCATGCACAGTGCAATTAAAATTGTTCTGCGTATGCGCAGAATTGAAAAACAAGATGGCGGCACCTATGGTGCCGCCCTGGGAAAAGTTTCAGGGGCGTGGCAGGCCAGGGTCGCTGCCGGTTCCAGCGACCCAGCCGTCCAAACCAGTACCGGTTTGGCCGAATTGGGCCGAACCGGTAGGAACTCACTACTGGTTATCTGGGTATTTAATTTGCTTAACAATACAAATGCCATTCTTACTCTCCATCCCTTTTTTCCAACCATTGGTAAAATAAATTCCAAGTTTGATCATAGTCTGTGTCTTCTTTCTGTTTGATTTTCAATGTAAGTCTGTCCATTTCTGCACAATCTATTATCTTCTTAATTAATTCTTCACCTTGAGGTGTTTCTACATCTTTCCAATATTGTGCGAAGATCATCTTCGCTGCTGTTAAAACATGTAATACTAAATACGTACATACTTCTCTTATCAGGTTTTTCTGATATCATCCCTCATAAAACCAGTTCAGGTTTAAAATCTACATGTTTCCCTATTATTTCCAGCCATTTATGTATTTTTGCCCCAAATGTTTTTTGTTTTAGCACAAGTCCACAAGTTTTCGACTTATGACCGGCTGCTTAACAACTGTTCAGAGTTATGACTGACCTCCCTGGGGGTACTTATGGTCCAGATGCAAAGTTCCAATGGCTGCGTTATTACCGCTTCCCTTCACTATCGCCAGGTGAAAATAAGGGCCATTATGTCCATCCCCCCGCCAATACCCCCCCTCCCGCTGCCTAAAGGCACCAAGATACCACATGAATACTTAATCACACTATCTGGAATTATGTCAGTTTAAGGTTTTTAAAGAGGGTAGAAAAATATAGCTCCAGGTTGTGCTTTTTAGCTAAATCCTGCCAAACTTTGCCTCCTGTGATCTCTCTCTCTCCCATCTTCCTGCATGATATTACTTAGCAAAGATGATTAGTGGGTTCACCAACAGCAATCCTATTGCAATTAACCTAACAGCAACAGCAAGTAGGAACAAAACACCATGAATTATAGATAACGCTAAGAAAGAGAACTCCTATGGACACCACATGGCTCCCCTAACTGAGAAGGACTTTCAATTTTCATAAATATATAGGTGGGAGGGGGAGGAGTGCAAAAAAATATTTATTACGGACACAGACCTGCAAATAAAAGCATTCAAACATAATACTGGTGTGTGTGTGTGCGTTTGTGTATGTGTATGTAAATGCGTATATGTGTATATAAGTGAGTATAAGGACTTGGTATAAGGAGTCATAAATTGAGTCATGGACTTAATTTATGATACCTTACCTAATAAAATATCCAGAAAATACTGATCTTTTTTTGTGCAATTACTATTATTACACCAGGAACCATGAAATTGTTTTGTACAGGTAGTCCTCGACTTACAACAGTGTGTATGTATATGTGTATATATATCTATATTAATATAACTGTCTAATATGTAAAAACAGCCCAGGTTCNGATGGATGGATGGATGGATGGATAGATAGATAGATAGATATGATAGATAGATAAGATAGAGAGAGAGAGAGATAAGATAGATATGATAGATCGATAGATCGATAGATCGATCGATCGATAGATAGATAGATAGATAGATAGATAGATAGATAGATAGATAGATAGATAGATGATATTATGATAGAGAGATGATATATAATAGAAGATAGATGATGGATAGGTGGATAGATGCGTAGGTAGGTAGATATCAAGATAGATGGATGATATATGATAAAAATGATGGATGTGTAATTAATAGATATGGATGGATGGATGGATGGATGGATGGATGGATGGATGGATGGACGGACACACAGACAGACAGATTTGATAGAGAGATCAAGCTGAGGATAGATAGAAATATATAGATATAGGTGCTATCAAGTTAGATATATGATATATGATAGAATATGAGAGACAGAGAGAGACAGAGAGAGAGGGAGACAGAGAGAGAGAGAGGGAGGCAAGGAAGGCGGGAGATTAAACTGGCAAGGATTATAAAGCATTTATTTAGCTAGGCTTAGTGTTAATATCACACACAAACATACATACACACACACACACACACTGACAAAGACACAAAGAGAAAAACACTTCTTCCTTCTCCCTAGCCTATAAAAAAAACAATTTGAAAAATGAGCAGCAAATACAACTTTCAAAAGTGAAAGCTTTGGCAGATGATTTGGCCTGCCTTTTCGTTGTATTTCTTCCCCTGTATCCCAGGCACCTAGTAAATATGCTGACTGTAGAGGAAAGATTTAGAACAAAGGAAACAATAGGTAGATCGAAAGTTACTAAATCAAACCATTAAAAATGGCCCCAGGGAAACAGCTGCATGGCGAAAGTAACATTTGACCCACTGCATCTCCAAGCTAGATCAGCAGCCAATAAATAACCAAAATGGCTCAGTTCCTCACTTTATTTTACCCAACATCTCCGATATTTCAGACAGGTATTAGTTCTATGGGCTAAAGATGTGCTTCAGAGGCTAAATCGTTCATATTTCCTTGCTAAAAGATTTTACCTGGTTTGCAATTTCATGTGCATTTTTAAAGTGCATTTTTAAATGGATTAAGTGAATTTTAAATGATTTTTTTCAAGTAATGCTTTACAGGGAATAGAATAAAGAAATAAATAAATAGAATAGAATAGAATAAAGAAATCAGAATGGAATGGAATGGAATAGAGTTGGAAGAGACCTTGGAGGTCTTCTAGTCCAGCCCCGTGATCAAGCAGGAGAGTTGGTTCCTATTTTTCTACATGCATTTTTTACATGCTTTCAAACTGCTAGGTTGGCAGAAGCTGGGACAACTAATGGGAGCTCACTCCATTACGCAGCACTAGGGATTCGAACCACCGAATTGCTGACCTTTCTGATTGACAAGCTCAGCATCTTAGCCACTGAGCCATCACCTTCAGAATACATAGTTTAAGGCAAAATATGTACCAATATTTGAAGAAAGTAGCCTCTAGGTAAGATTGGCAGCATATAGATTTGATAAACAAATAAAAAGGGATATACATTTGTAAGAATAAATATCCATCCATTTGAGAATAGATTTAATGATAAATCTGTGAGTATGGGTAACAATCAATCAAGCAGATTATTCAGTTTTGAAGGATATATGTGAACTTGAGGCAGAAGGGAAAAAAACATCCATTTTTCCTTCCAGCCCACACTCCAGAAAAAGTTTCCGATAAGTGGGCTGTCTTTCTGGAGTTTACTGTTGTGGTCTTAAAAATTTGGATCTGCTTTCCCCTGGGGATTCAGTCAGTCTGTGGGGTGATTATAATTTTGATTGGTTTTTTTAAAATAAAGACATCCAATTGTGTATCATAACTTATATACACACACATACTGTACATACACAGTAGGTACATAGGTAGGTAGAAAATTAAAGATGAAAAATAGAGGCAGTGACAGATTAGATGACAGATGATAGATAGAT